AGAGCACACAATAGATAATAGATAATAGATTATGACATAGTTAATAGAGGGGAATGGTTATGAAACTCGACAAAGTTCTTACTTGTATGTTTTCGTTTGGTTTTTCGGTCTTAACCGTACACAAAACACAATAGTTTGTTTACTACTGATCGAGGAACTAACCAGGTTTGGTTACGTAACTCATGCATCATTGTATGAGCGCAAAACAAAAGATTGTGCACGGTCGTGGACCGTCTAACATAAATCTTGGCATCTTTGTTTGCTCCTTTGATGTTCGCCGGGCTTCATATGATTATGATAAAGGAAGGTGCTCTGTCATTCGGTACAATTATTTTGAGAAGCTGAGGAAACTTAGCTCGATCACAGGCGACCCAACAATAATTCTTTCATTTTGTAGTGGCGTGAATGGCAAGAAATAGGAAGCCATTTGGAAGTGATCTCGAGTAACAATAGCCATACAATTGCCTAACGTCAAGACATGGCAGCTCGTGTTTCCAAGTTTGGTCGGTGCCCCTTTACCTTTATTTCAATTAGTACCCGTAAAGTTTTCTTATTCAGGCACATTTACAAAGTTTTTAGTTTCAAGAAAATCCTAAGTGGCAGTGCTCCTTGAAGTCATCTATAGAAGCAAAAATTACTTAAGAGTTAAGTAGTATTTTAAAATAGTTTGACGTACGTATTTTTCGTGTCAAAAAGTATTTAAAAAGGTTGTTTCTCTAAGAGAAATTTGCGGTTGATTCATGAGAATCGCTCTGCATTTGTCAAATGGTACATGCTACATAATATTAGGTATGTTGAGTTTTCCACATGATCCTCATTCTATTTATTTACAAAAGGTCTAGATAGCAGCAGACATGTAAAGATTTTAAGGAAAACGACCACTTTTTTAAGTTTAAAAGACATGTTTCGACAGNTAATTAAGACAAATAGTAACAACAGAACGTGAAAAGGTGTAAATTAAAAGGATAATTTTAGATTTACATGGTGTAATTGCTGATTGAGGCAAGGTAGTTACCTTGCCTCAATCAGCAATTACACCGTTCTGTTGTTACTATTTGTCTTAATTAGCATTTTTGCCTACTTATTATTCAACTTGCTTTGTAATCGTTCATTCAACTGAAGATGACAGAAGTTCTGTCGAAACATGTCTTTTAAACTTAAAAAAGTGGTCGTTTTCCTTAAAATCTATTTATTTACATGTTAATTCAGTCGTATTAGAGCGGTTTTCAGTTGAGTGATGTAAAACCAAACCAGGCCAATTACTTCCCAATCAGCCAGTGTCAAACCAAAACCAAAACTAAAGTAATTGCTTGATTACTTTCGACACTCGACTGAAAACTGCTCTAACAAGTCATCTTTGCAGCCGCAATCCAGACTCGCCCTGGGGACGAGGTTGACGCACCGTGTGCTTTTATCACGTGACAATTTTATTAGGTTCGCGATTGTTCTTGAGAATCGTAACTCTTCGACTACTTTTACGCGAATTTGCCGAAAACGGCACTCTCTTAGCACGACTGAATTTAACTTGCAAAGAGGCCTCTTTAACACTCAACCTCCTCGCAATGACGGTCAAAAATGCCATTTTGAAAAAAAATAGCAACTCAATTTCTTTTATTTGACGTGGAACACTTAAACAGTTAGAACAATACAAAAGTGAGAGGTTAAGGGTTAAACACAGCTTTGTTACAGTTTTCCATTTCGTATTTATTTAAAGATAACTTACATAGAATTCAAAGAGTAACGCAACGAGTAATCATTTCGAGAAACGTAGTCTTGATGTTTCAAGTTTATCTTTCTTCATGCGTGCCAAATTTTATGAGTACCTCTTTATGTTTTTCTACCAGAGTAGACTATTATCGAGAGGTTTACTTCCACACAAAGGTTATTTAATGTATCAAAACATACGGCTAAAGTTACCCCGACATGGCACCCTTAGGGTGCTTTTAAGGTGTGCGCAATATTAAAGAGAATGGCTGCAGGCTAACGTTAAGAATGGACGGCGAAATCAAAAACGAGGACAATGGTCCTTCAGCTAAATTTACAGCAATTACCTCGCTTATTCTTTGTCTGCTTTTCTATTCACTCGTTACAGTTATGCCCAGCTAGAGATATCACTGACGCAACCCAAAGCGGCTGTTTGTAGTTCGAAATATTTTGTAAACTAATGGCTTAAGTTATTAAAAAAAGAGTGTGTTGTATATATTTAAAAGCGACAATTTTCAGACAAATTGTTGTGTAATATATAAACTGGAACTAACTAGAGACTTATTTATATAATGAAGTTTAAAATAAAAACTTTTACTGAACATTTATATCCATCGTATGGGTTTTGTTTTTGCTTAATTGCGCGTTGGTTACAGTTTTGAGTCGCACTTTTCTGTAAGAAAAATTTAAACGACTTCTTTGATGTTTGGCATCGTACATGACGAGTGTTTGGATTTTAACCAAGGTGTATTTATTTTGTCGTGGGAGTAAAACCGTTGGAGACGTCAGTATATTTTGAAATACTTAAACAAAAACATTCCCGTAATTTTGAAATCCGGCGATAGATATTTTTCCTCATTTCATCAAACTAGGCCTCAAGTTTAGTATCTCCAAGTTTTACGACAATCATTGCTACACAAACTGGCTACAGAAATTGCCTGCTAAATTTACTCTGAAAGTGGTACGTAAATACATTTGTCAGTGTTAGCTGACGGACAAACTGCAGACGAGTGTAGTCATACTATCTCCATTTTGAAGGCTGATACTACCAGAAGATTTAGGGGGTGTTTTTGTCGCACCGGCGCGCGAGTTCCATACCGTGGCCGGGATGACTACATGATTTCGTATCGACACGTTTTCCTCATCATATGTCCAACGAGTCTTATGCTATACCATCGCCATTGTAAAAGTCAAGGAAGGTGACCCTGAATCAAAGTTCGAGGGTTGCTAGGTTGTAGCTTTTCTTGTGTACTGAGTAAGCCATTCAGTAGGTTCTTTTGTTAAACTCGGCGGCAGCAAATACGATGGAAAATCAAAACCACTCGCCCACTTGCCACCAATCTGTATTTTCCCGCGCTTGCCGTAGATTTACGTATTTTTTCGCTCTTGGCGACCGTCGCATATTTTCAACGTGGTATATATCGTGAAAAACGAAAAGACCATCCGCCGGGTCCCTCGCTAGTTCCACATGCGGTCATGAAGCAACACAACTACATCGCAGTGACATGGTCGACGAAAAACAGCTGTAGTCCGTTTACTCAGCGTTTTGAACCTCAAAGCACTAATTCTGTTCTTTATAATAACTTGCACTCGAAACAAAGCTTGTGTCACCATCTATCCCGTAGTGTAGTGTTACAAACGAAGCAGTTCTGGGTATCACAAGTCAAATATAAATCTTGAACTCCGCAGAGGACCGTGATCCAGTAGAATGTCGAGAGACTCGTCGTGCACCCGAAGATACGGTCACCTGATCTCGTTGCCATAGCAGCTCGGCCAAAGAGTTGAGAAAGTGCGCGACTTCCTATGAAAGGAATCTCTTTTAATGAGCGAGTCAATTACATTGATTAACATGGTTTGCTCATGGTTTAGGCGGGTTGTTCAAAGCCCGATTAATCTAACCTAGGATTAACAAGAATTCTGATTTTAGTTTTATAACGTTTCGGGGAGGTTTTCCGTGTATATTGTTGGTCCTTCAGTTTTGAGTTTGAATAATCTCAAACTACACAAAAACATAAGCAGTGAAAAACATTTTTGTATCAGAAAATTAATACTTTGGTTACCTTTTAATCTCGGNCATTGAAACTCTTGGGTGGGGAAGAACACTGTAAGTAAAGTCTTGCCAAGAACACAGCACAATGATCCCAGCCAGTCTTGAACCCAGACCTACAGTGAATACATTTTTAGATCAAGCATCTTACTGATAACTACCTGCTCACAAGAACACATATAATTGTTTCTGTGACTTAAAAATCCTTAATTGTGGGAGGAATGATAATAATCAGACATATTCATCAAGTACAAGATTACACTGTACCTTGCCCTAACAGTTTTGCCACAGTGCTAGTCTTTCCAACAGCTGGTTTTCCAGTTAAAAGAATCTTGTAGGATACAGTTTCTACAGCAAGCTGTGGTGGTAAACTTGGTGCTTCAAGTAATCCTGGAAATCAATAAATCAATAATAGCTTAATAAATTCAAGATCAAAATAATGTCGCTAAAAGTTCAAGTTCACAACTGTTCAAAAAGTTGTACCATACATGTACATGTGTGTAGTGAGTCATGAAAACAAAATAAATGTACACTTACACATGAGCATAGCTTATCATTTTAGAGAATAAATCAAACCCACAACCTTTGGATTAAATTACTGTAGGTTGTGGCTGTAAATCCTGCATAGTTCATAGAATTTTTCTTTACGTTAGGAGGTCCCCCCAATTTGTTTCTTGACTAACACTTGAAGGAAAATACTTGCTTGGATGATTTCCAGCACTTCAAATTACTCTTGTCTGAGTTAATTGTCTTTTTTCCACTTCTGTTAATCAGTACCATGTGGCAGAACATTTGTAACTGTGTCTTTCAAAGCTTTCAAAATATTGCACCCTGTGCTGTACATACACCGCGGATATGAAAAAAATATCCAAACCCCACAGATTGCTATATGCAACTTATATTAATTACAGTGGACTCATTTGGTTGGCATGTGGTCAAATAAGATTTTATCATGTGTACATGGAATTTACGAACAAAACTTGCACAAACAGGTGACTTACTCAGCATATTTCTCCTCGTCACCAAGAAAACCAACCTAATCCTATTGGCAATACTAACCAAAGGTCCGCGATCTTATTGGCTGACCTTTAAAATGAGAACTCTGCACGTTCTCAAAAAAGTCAGATCCGGCATAGGTCATTATTTTCAGTATTGACCAAGACGATCACGACCTCTGGAAACGACAATGCACAGTCTTAGGCTTGCATTTCTGCCACTAGTACTAGGTTTGACTTTTACGTATACACTGTACGCGCGCTCAGTCTCTGGATGCACTTGCAAAGCCGGAAGAACACTCCTGACGTTAGGATTTCCTCATATGCACCTCAAACAAATCATATGCTTCTCCTGTTATCTTCCAATCTTTGTAAGCTTACATATATAAGTTAAGACTTATCGCAGTAGTGCATCCACAGAAATATGGCTCACCGACTCACCGAACGTTTTTCTTCTGTTTCGATGCAGGATCCCTCCCAAAAACTCCCGTCCTTCCGGTGTTTCTTGCCAGTTGAACTGGATGATCGAGCCTCTTGGCATGAAACCCGCCATCGAAAAGGCAAAAATTGTCTACTTCTGTCACTTCGAAAGCTCTCTCGTTTCTGTTTTGACGGCCATGTTGGAATGTTACCACATGCCAAACAACTGTGAAACGCTGACAGAAAAGGAACATTGCTGGCTCTCAACTTTTCTCCATTCCAGGCTCCCTCCAAGGAAACGTGAATTCGCTCAGATGTCACAAACAGTCAAGGGAAAACAAATTGGTTCGAGGATTATAATTATATTGGAAGCAACAAACATAGAAAAAATGCTTTTGATAAAGTCATGGAAGACTGGAAAAGATGTGTGAATAGAGAACATGGTGTGTTGGATCTAAAACTTGCAAGTAGCGCGAGCTGTTTTTGCTTCGCGCCAAAATTTTGAAGTGTCTGCAGGTTGGTAGAGCCTTCTTGTGTTTGATTGTTTTCATGATTTTAGGAAAAGCAAACAAATATACTTATTGCAGAATGGGAACCAAAAGTATAAAGAAATTGTTTATGGATTGTTTTCCAGGCTTATTACCGGTAGATGAATTGCTTTTCTGGATTTGCCGAGTCGATCGATTTTTGCAAACTTTTCAAACGACGTTTTAATTTGGGTTTTGAGCGACTCACTGACCTTATTTCACAAAATACAGACGGATTACGATTACTCCGAAGCGAAAAACTCGTCGTTGCGAGAACCACCTGTAATTGCAGGGACAGATCTTTGAAAAACTTGTGAAATTGGATTATTGCAAGTTTTTCTTGTTCACCGACAGTAGTGAAACATACATATATTGGTCAGCTTATTAATGAATCATTTGCACGCAATCTGGAAGATTTCTTCACTGTCGAAAAAACACCATCTAGATAACCTGAGGAAGTGCTTTTCTTGTAATTATTAAATGCCCATCGATCTATAATTTTCTAGAAAATGAAAATTGCGTTTGTTTTGTTCATGTCACTCCTACAGGGCAATTTGTACCAATGGTAATTTTTCGTAATTGACATTCAATTCGATCTTCGTCGTGCGCAGTTTTTATGGTGATTTTTCTGTGATATTCGAATCTCCGCGAGTTGAAAACACGGATTAATTCCGTTTCCAAACAGATGCTGCATGTTTTTGTTTATATGCCTTAGTTACTTATTTATAAGCTTTAGTTTCAGATTGATTTCTGGTTTGCTGCCATGACCACTAAAAGACGTGGAAAGCATTTGCCTGTAAAACTCCTTACATGGCAAACAAAATTCAGGAATTATTAACATAATAAAGTCTTCTTTGATCTAAATTTCTCATTTTTGTAATTAAGATTATTTTATTTATGGGCTACATTATTGCTGATCAAGATCTTGTCAGTTGACATGGGGACATGAATGAGGGTGCCACCCGGTGCTATGACACCTTTTGAACATGTAACATACATGTATGCTGGGACTAAAGGGACTCTTTTCAGTTGATTTTGCCACATTTAACTTGGTCAAAGCAGTACTAAATTAGGACTCTTTGCTGGTAAAATTTACACCAAATGCTCCTAGATTACCAAGAGGAACTCAGTTGTAAATAAGAGTGTATATGATAGTTAATTTTTTAAAATATGTTTTATGGAATCGACAGGAGATTGTGATATGGAAATAAAAAAGAGGGTATCTTTGTTTCCCCGTGTTTTAGCCATCTGAAAACATGAAATTTCACTTCCAGTTGGGTCAGAAACCGCAGGGGTTAGGACCTCAGACTAGTCAGGCTTTGTCTTCAAACAAGAATGTACATATATGTCAACATATTTTTTGAACCAAACTAATACAAACAAAAAAAAAAAAGAAAAGAAAAACTGAAATATACATGTACTTTTCTAGGAATTAGGCAATCGAAGCAATCAAGTGCAATTCCAATTTTGGTTCAAAATTCTTAACACTAATGAAAGATATTGACCAGCCATGGTAGTGATGTCCATCTACACATAGGAGCTAGCTAGGTGCTAAATGGTTGTCCTTCTTGGATGTCTCATCCACCACTTTGCAAAGCAGTTGTTAATGGCCAAGTAATTTGTATTATAAACTGATAAACTATTTGTGGTTTTCTCTAAGTACTGAGATTGCATTTATTAACTAGTGTATTACATGTAATCTGATAACTAAATAAATGCTCTTTATTAAATTGTTCTTGTAGAGGTAATTAAGAGAGAAGGAAACTTCATGCCAAGTAAAGTACCATTCCAAGTGGTTTACAGTTCCAGTGCTGATGATAACCACCGGGAGAAAGAACTAGAGGTAAAATGATTACAGTATTATTATAGTACACATGTACCTTGTAATCTTTAGTTAATTTTAGTCTAGACTTCTCAAGACATGCCAAGATCACAAGTCATGAATTACTGACCCTTTGTGAAGTTTGAACTGGCCAATATCTCAGCTGGTAAAATTTGAGGAGCTTTATTCAATGCTTCACATGTAACAATGGGAGAGAATACTGCAGAAAAGTACTTCACGGTAAATTGTCAGAGCGTTTAATTCATGATTTCATCCTACACAAAATGCCTTCAGTTGACAGAACTTATAACTTACAGTTATGTCATCTGGTGCCAAAGTCTCCTTATCACACATACAGTCCTTTAATTCAATCTCCCATCATGGCCATATACTAAGTATACTATACACTTAATTACTGGTCCCATGGGAAACAGTGAGTTTTGTTTTCCTGAGAAGCTGGATGTTTCCCAAGATGAAGTCAAGAGAAACATTGAGATTTAATGGGAAACAAAACTAACCAAGGGACTATATATGTAGTAATTAAGTGTTTTGTTTATAGCTGTCCAGTTTACTGTATAGTAATAAAGCAAGGAGAAGTAAATATATATATATAAATATATATTTTTTTTATTGAAAGTATAACCTCTGGTTAGTGCGAGAGCAGTCAGCAATTGCATATTGTTGCCTGCTGGGGTGTTTAGCAATTGCCACCTGACCACAAATCAACCAATAAGAGTGCGCATTAGATTCAACTACAGTGTACAGTGTACAGTGTAGGCTCCAGCTTTATAATAAAAATAATACATGTATTCACGGCCCCCGTATTGCGATGGAGTGAAAGTCCAAGGGTTAAGGTATAGGAAGCCAGCTCTTGAAGACAGACTTTGTTAATATGAAGAGGACCCTGTGATACCTTTCATTCCCTTACCTGACATGTAGCTTCAGGACTCTTAGCTGCAAATCAGAGCTGAGGGCATTGACTGTGCACATTTTTAAAATTTGCTGGTTTTTCTTTTTTTTCAGTTGCACAGTCCCACAACCAAAGGATGGCAGTCTTCCAGGTATAACTCCCAGGGCGAATAAAAAAAATGTTGGATTCCTACCTGCCCTTTGGACAAGCAACTCTTAAATTTTGCTTGGACTTCGCCAGTCCTAGTTTATTTTTTTGAAATTTAGTTGGCAGACAACTCGCCTGGGCCCTTTCCCATCAGGCAATTGGGAATGAAAAGTTACTTGCCTGGCAGGAAAATCTGCATGTACATGTACATGTTCCAGGTGACAGGATGGCCCTTTTTTCAAGACCGGACTCTTAGTGAGCATTTTTGAGACAAGATGCTTTTAACATTTGCACTTATTTATATAAACAACAAACCTGTAGAGAATTAAATTGAGCATTTAGTGCCAGTTAGAGAGTCACTGTATTAGAACTAAGTGAAGGAATGGAGAGAGAAAAAAAAGACCAAAATTTCCACAGCAATAAAAAATGTACTCTATTATAAAGAGAAAACTACTATACATACAGGTGTACATTCATACATAACTTTATTTCCATTTGGATTTCAGTGTACATAGCATGGGAGTGCTAATATCTCTGAACAAAGAAACAATAAATTAACTAAAAATACTCTATGCTATCAAATGAATACATCTAGGTTAATAACTACATTGCTATCAATGAAATAATCAACAATCAACAATCTTCCAAACTATAATTTGGAAGACACCACTGATCACAGGTATACTCAAAGCAATGACTAGCAATGTCTTTGATATTGGCAGGTTCTGTCTTTATCCCCAAGAACTGGTGTTGTTGATGAAGGAACCTATACGGGTTAGGAAACTTCAGTTGCTGTCCCATCAGTTCATGATATGTAAGTGCTCTTTGTTGCTGGATTGTTTTATAACATTATTGGTTTCCCTTTAGTTACATATGTGGGAGGTGTGGTAGCCACATGGTTAGTGCGCTCGTCCCCGGATTAAGCAGTCCGGGTTTGAGCCCTGGCCGGGGACTCTTTGTTGTGTTCTTGGGCAAGACACTTTACTCTCACAGTGCCTCTCTCCACCCAGGAGTATAAATGGGTACCNAAGTCCGGATAATCGAGTAGTCCGGATAATCGAGGTCCGGATAATTGAGGTTCGACTGTACTCACCTTCTGTATATTTTTTCGAACTGGCCACTGATAAGTCCGGAAGGAAGTGCAATGCCTGCAGGCCATTATATTTGCCTGATTTTCATAGCACCCTGAGTCTGGTTAATACAGGTATGATTATCTCTAACTGTAAGTTAAATTTGTAATCATTCTTCAGCCAGTAAAGTGGAGGTGTTAATCAGTAAAGTGCCTGCTGGACAGCCTCCTTCCTTACTAACGACAAAGTTTAAACGTCTGGGGTAAGTTTATGTACAAATTTGGGCAAATGTTATGTCTTGTTTTCACTGGTCACATAATCTTGTACCACTTGACTACAGAAGAAAAACTGGTTTGACTAGCCCTGATTTCTGTGTGACAGCGACTACACAACTGTCATGGATACAAAAATAATATGAAAGTAAAGAATGTACTAGTTATCTGTAATAATCTTGAATGGTTTTCAGAATATCTCTTGTTAACATGGAAAGAGACCCAAGTTAATACTGGGCACAGCTACATGTATCTTTCCTTTTTTAATACTTTTCTGATATTGTCTCACATACTTTTCACTTCTCAGATATGTTGGACTCTCCGACAATGAAAACACAGACTTCAAGGTAGAGTGTATTTCTGAGTTTAGAATTTACAAGGGCTTGTTACAAATAATGTTGCTGCTGTGTGTATTAGTCATGTGCAGCATGTACAGGCCTAGTTAGTACTTTTATTAGAGAAACAGGTCAATTGCTAATTATTGGCAGTTTTTCAAATTTCTCGCTTGGAAGTGACTGCATCACAAAGTAAGGATTCCAAAATTTTGAGATTGGATCAAAAGCCTCTGAGACCCATGATATTCTATGCACAATTCGCTATCCTTAATTTGCTTTGTTAGGAAACATATACATGTATGGGGACGAGGAGAATCCATTTCTAAAGACACAAAATTAATTTAAAACCTGTACAACTGCATTCTCTTAAAACTCAGAGCATCGTGTGTTTAGATATAGCACAATTAATTTATTTTACACTGTCCTCCAGGCTAGAGAACTGAAATCCATCCACCTTGATGCTGAAGGACATTTTGTAAAGCTTATCCTACACAAGAACCATGTTAACAAGTACAATATTTACAATCAGGTAAGCTGTCTTTAGCATTGATAATAAACAACGAAAAGCAGTGACGGCGAAGTCCTGCTTAGTAATATTTGCAGTCATTTTTTCAACATAATAATCTAGAAATACTTTGGTAGCTCTTCATGAGTTTAATTACTATTTATTACTAATGGTAAAGTAGAATGGAAATTCATGGCCATATGTACAAACAATTGTTTTGATTGTGCAAACATTCAAACCTTTCCTAGCTAGCCAGGTTTGAGTAGTAATCCACAGTGTAATGTGTCATCTGTTTTAGGTTGGCTTGGTTGCAGTGAATGTGATTGGAGACCGACTGGACACACCTTATGATCCACTTGATGCTGATCCAGTAAGTAGCAAGAAGCAAAGTTCGTGGTACAATTTTAAAATGGCAGGCCCAGGTTGTTCAAAGAGTGGATAAGGCTATCCACTGGATAAGTCACTATCCAGTAGATAGCATGAATTGTTTTGCATATTTAACTTATCCACTGGACAGTGATTTATCTGGTGGATAGTGTCATCCACTCTTTGAACAAGTGGGCCCTTAAATGTCTAATAGGGTCATCAGCTTAGTCTGTAGTGTTTGCAAAATAGATTTCTGTATACGTGTACCTTTCACACAAAGTCCACTGTGTAAATGAGTATTTAATTCAAAGATGCTAGATTTTTTTAAGGGAGCAGCGCAAAATTGTTTCAAAAGTAACTATTTTAAGAGATAGTGCAATATTTATAATTATAATAATGAAAAAAAGTCTTCATAAGGGATTTTGCTGTGAAACAGTGAATCCATGAGATAGATTAAACAAAGTCAATTAAATTTTGTAATAAACTTGTTGTTTTTTTGGCAGCTGAAGAATGTTGACAGTCTTGTGCAGGGTTACATGAACCCCAACTTAAACAATGCCCCTGTCTGGGGCAGAATAAACAAGTATGTTGAATACATTACATAACTTTACAGACTGTACTTACTATAATTAGAAGGAGAGAGCAGAGTTATTTCTGCAGTGCAACCCCAGATAAACAAACATTTGGTTCATAGCATAGCAGTTACAGCTCTATGTGACAAAGTATGTCGACCAAATGTTGCAGTTTTTACACTGAGGGTTTGTGGCTTTTATCAATGGCCTCCATTGCAGGCCTAAATGCGGAGGTACTGTACCTCCTCCCTCATTTTATGTCGCAAGGTATGTATCAAATAATTTGAACATGTATTATTGTGAGTTTTGCATCCTATGGCTACCAAATTATTATTTAATAAACATAAGTATAAAAAAGTGAAGAATTATTTAACTTCATTATAATAATTTAATTGTATCACTATTTTATCTGCAACAAATACAAGCATGTAGTTGTNTTGATCTCTTGCCCATCGGACAAGTGAGAATGAAAATTTACTTGCCCAGTAGGAAAATCTGCTTGTCCGGGACAATGAGACGGCACTTTTTTCGAGCCCTGCTTACTGATGTTTCAAAGTTGGTCGATAAAATTCTAGCCTGTGAACAGGCTCCGGCTGGAAGGGTCTGACCGCAGCTGGGAGGGCTGAGAAAGAACTGGCTGAGAGTTCCTCTCGTGTTCTCTTCTCCCCATTCTTGACTAGAGAGACTGTTGACAGGCTAGTGAAATTCTGATAATAGCTTTTCTGAGAGTTATCATTCTGGAATATGATATCTGTTTAGTCTCTAAACTGTACCCTCAGAGTAGAGTACCATGTCATAGTTACATCAATCTTCTATTTTGAAGTGATGATATGTACTAATGTATTTTAACTACTTTTGAGTTTAATCAAGTCACTTTTTGTCCTTATAACTTAATTGTGACAGCTGACATTTTTGCTTGACTGCAGATTCAGAGCAATGCAATTGGCTTAAAAACTTCCGCCAATTTTTCATCCAATCAGAAGTAATTTAACGAGAAGAAATTGTTCGCACGTGTTTTCCTGTGTTTCACATCAGCTACAGCTGTACATGTAATTACTTTGATTTCAGATTAGCTAACTGTCTCGTCTGTGTCCTTTGTGATTGACTAGAGCAATTACTTTCAATTGGTTATGTTTTCACGATACTCAAGTGAAAACCGCTCTATAGGTCTAGTACTTTAATACCCTTTTTATCTGTTTAATTCTCTCCAGAGACGAACACATGAGCATCGGCCAATAAACATAAGTAAGTTTCTCTTGACATAATATAAGTTCAGAATTTCCTGTAGATAAATATGATGACTGAGCCTTTTTGTTTATGCATGTTAAACTGACATCGAGTGGGTAATGTTATACACCTATTTGGCAGCCTGGCAAATCATGCCGATAATTACAGGCCTGCCAATTGGCAAATCTCTCTGCTCACTCGGCTTTGTTGATAACCTAGCAAGTGGCGACAGCTTAGATGCTTTTGTTTTGTGTGTGATGTCATTGATATTAGCTTATTCCTTTGATTGACTTACCATGTGCCACTAAGCGTTTGTTATTGTTCACTTTTAGCTCCACCACCCCTCCCCCCTATAGTAAAAGATCAGAATAGACAAACCCCACCCATACGCCATCAGGAGGAAGAGAGAAGCACCTCACCTCCCCCTCCCCTGGCTGCAATAAAACAGCAACTTTCATCCAGAGAAGACACACCACCTGTTCTCTCGCCAAGGAGGGTACGTATGTCACTCACATGTCAGGTTAACTTTTCAATTCCCATGAGAGGTCAGTATTGAATGAGGATATTTGTCACAAGTTATGTCGTAAAATGACAAAAAGACTTTAATGGAGCTCTGTGACCTGAAAATAGGAGCTTACTAATAATATAGTTAAATGAAATTTAACATAGTTAACGACTAGGAGCTAGTCTGGTCAGTAGCGTTTTTATAGGCGGTTGTTAGTGTCTTGGCCGTCTGTGAGCGTTTGGTTAGCGTTTGGTGCGTTCTGTAGCGTTTGATATAGTTCAATGGAATTTTACATAGTGTATGACCAGGAGCTAGTCTGGTCAGTAGCGTTGTTGGTAGGCGTTTGTTAGTGCCTTGGCCATCTGTTAGCGTTTGTTTAGCGTTTGGTGCGTTCTGTAGCGTTTGTAGCAGTCATGGTCGTGAGAGACCTGGGGCTGACATTGTCCAACGGTATTTTTGGTTAGTACATGTGTTGTCGNTAAACCTGGGTAAGTTTGGCAACGTTGTCAACATACAGGATTGTTTTTAGTTGTTAAACTCGCCAACGACATCGTAACCGTGGGAGACCACTTCCTTCAGGAAACTAGTTGCGTAACCACGTTTTTATACTGTTTACAACGACGTAGAAGGACTGCATTTAATTTTCAGTGAGGCCTAGTTTTTGAAGTACTGTATACGGTTCCATATTAGCTCAGCTGTAGCTTACTTGCTAGCCGAACGGTTGCAGTAAATTTCTAAGACATTTTTTGGTCCTATTTTCATTGCCAGGAGCCTTTCCACTGGAAATATAATGAGGGTAAGATCATTTTTTATTTTTATAAAATAAATGAAACAAGAAAGAAATAAGATTAGAATTCTCCAATACATCCTCAGACTACAACTTAACCTGTCATTCATGGCTTGAACAGTTTGAATGTAAGATGATTAAATGATAAATTGAGAGATTTATTGAATTTACCAGGTTGTTTTGCCCGCCTTGGAACACACCAGTGGTGATGTGCGAGACCCGGCGTCACGGCTTGTACTAGAGCTATACAAGAGGGTATTGCAATCGTCTTTGCATTTTTGTTCGTTCGAAAAAGAAAACTGGTTCTCTGAAGGAGAGATCACGAACCTAATTCCTTTTTTTTTTAGGTAAAGGACACTGTTCGTGACTACCTTCCACCCGATGAGCCGGCCACTAGGAAAAACCCGCTTTATAGAAACCTGTTTGACGGGTTTGACAAGATCGACGGCAAGCCTACTGAAGCTGAGAGAAGGGTAGGTTCGACCTGCCACATTATTATATTCACTTTTCACACACTGAATGCCATTTGCGTGCCACACAACTCTGGCCCAGCCCCCCTTCAGTGTGTAAGAACCTAATTTCTCGCCTCTTTCGCAAGCTCAGCCGGCGAGAAATCCATTTCTATCCCTTGAAGCTTTTTCGTGTTTGCGCTATGTACAGCGCATTCAGCAGCCTTGTTTTGGCTTAAATCATCCTCGCTTAGCGTTCAGTTTAGAAAAAGAGCATTTATCTCAGTCTTTGCAACTGATGGCACTTCAGAGCTATTTGCATCATGGTTTTATGATTCGTATCTCTTCTTATTTCATGTTTTTATCTGACCATTGACTGACAGGCACAAGCAAAGGCGGCCACTGCAAACTCAGAGAAAGCCAAGCAAGCTGAGGTTCGTATTCTCGGAACTGGACTGGAACTAGCTTGTAATGGAGGCCCATGAGGGGGAATAGCATTAAAAAAGAGATGAATGTCATTTGCACGTGAAAAGACTCACCGCATTAGTCTCGGTTGCAGGCTAGTTCCAGTGCAACAGTGAAATTAATACTGAATACGAATACGGTCTATTAATGGCGCAATCCAACAAATGATTATTGTCAGGAATGAATTTAGTTTACATTCTGATACTAGTCCCCTACCCCACCCAAATCCATAGGCTTACGTTTAGATTTAGCTCTTTTTCAATAGGAGTCTTCCGATTATAAGCCCCCTATTGGCGAGCAGGGTTTGTATTTTATGTCTGTACAGTATGTGCAGACGCTCGTGAGTTTTATATCGTTGTGTTCAGTGATATTTATCATGCGGTTCTCTTGAACGCACGTTAAACGGTTCAGACACTCCTTCCATATACACACTCACGCACTTTCGAAACGCTATATTCCTTCCGATAATGCCTTCCACGATAGTAAACGGAAAGCCTGTCTCCCACAAATAAGTCTACTGATCGGAAGAGCCTTTTGCACAAATGTAAGCACAGGGCTTATTTCAAAATCTTGTGGCATTTTGTCTTTATCAAGTTGTATTGTCTCCAGTACAGTGTACTTGCAAGGACGATGGAACCCCATAAATCCGGCGACCAGGGATGAATTTTGGTGGTTACTATACTAGCGGGCTGTTTTTCGTGATTGCAGAGTTTAACAGGTGCCTTTTGATAACGTTTTATCGTTTTTCTTCATCTTAGATTGCAGCTTTGCAGGCTCAGCTTCAAGCGCTCCGAGACATGGCAGGGGTTGGTATAAACTTGATATAAATCTTCTGTTTGTNCATAGCAGTTACAGCTCTATGTGACAAAGTATGTCGACCAAATGTTGCAGTTTTTACACTGAGGGTTTGTGGCTTTTATCAATGGCCTCCATTGCAGGCCTAAATGCGGAGGTACTGTACCTCCTCCCTCATTTTATGTCGCAAGGTATGTATCAAATAATTTGAACATGTATTATTGTGAGTTTTGCATCCTATGGCTACCAAATTATTATTTAATAAACATAAGTATAAAAAAGTGAAGAATTATTTAACTTCATTATAATAATTTAATTGTATCACTATTTTATCTGCAACAAATACAAGCATGTAGTTGTACCTTAATTTTATTGGTTGTTCATAACTAACTATATTCTTTTCTTTTTTGCAGGCCTGATTACATCTCTCGTATGGATGATTTGGCCTTTGACATGTATCAGGTTTGAATATTTTTCAACTTAATACTCTTTTTTGCAGAAATTGATTTTGGTGTTAATTGTAAATATGTGATGATGTACAGGTACTTTGCCAATCAAAACTTCACCATTTGGTTAAATTTGATAACCTTGTTGTATTAATGTTTAACATTGTATCTACTGTAACAATGCTTATCATACTTCTTACAGGATCCTGAAACAGCAGCCTTGATTAGAAAACTAGATGACAGGAAAAGAGAAGCAGTACAACGTAAGCAATTGAGCCCTTGTGATTGTTTTTTGAATAATCAACATAATGATATTAAATATAATAAAATAATTATATAAATGGTAATAAAAAGTATTCAGTTTCTTCACAATTTGTGGCTGAATTTCTTCATTGCATTTTCCCCTAATTTAATGTTTTCAGTTTTAGTGTTGCAATTATAACTAACTTGAAATGATAACCATTAACCACGACTATTTTGTTGAACAGAGGAAAGATACGACTATGCAAAGAAGCTGACAGCTGTCATTTCAGACTTGTACAAGGTAAGGACAACTCTAGTCAACAGTTAACAAGGGCATAAACCCTTAAAGATTCCAAAACATCTTATTGTATTCTTACTTTCAGAAATAGTAGGTTTAAATTGATTTCTTCAGATGTGTTCTGTAGTTTGTTATTTCTTGCAAGTGTTAATTTTACTTTTCATGCATTGTTACCAACTTTGTGTCACCCAGAAGTGGCAAGGCAGTGAAATGACAAGGAACTACAGTGCTGATTAATCATTATGTTTTAAACAATTACAATTGTAATTGTTTAAAACATAGTGATTAATCAGCACTGTAGTTCCTTGTCATTTGTTCTTGATGTTTCTGTGGTGGTAGTTGATAGCTAGGGCCATTAAGGCTAAATGAACTATCATTACTAACATAATTATTGAGAGCAAATAATCTAATTGTTTTAGTAGAATGCTCACTAGATTTCCATCAGATAAAACTATCTAATTATTTCTCTATGTATCAAAAGTAGTCTTAAACTTGACCCTTGAGCAAAATTATTGTGCGTGTGGTGAACTGCTGTTTGAAGCTTGCAGCTGTTTACATGCTCATGCTCAGATTACAAGGTTTTAAAGCTACACAACAGCCAATTTCCTTTCTTTAGTATTCCAGGGACAGTAATATAATTACGGTGCATTCCTTTGGGGTGATCAGGATCAGGATCAGTGATCCAAGATCACTCGGATCATGGTGCATCAAAGGAACCGATGAATCCANGTCTGGATCAATGATCTCAGATCACTTGGATCCTGGTACATCTAAGAAACCGATCAATTCTTGCCCATAGTGGGTTTATTGGTTTCTCTGATGCACAATGATCCAAGTGATCTTGGAACACTGATCCAGATCCAGATCACCCCAAACAGGGCTCGAAATTGCGACTCACTGGTTGCCAATGCGACCAAAATTTGAGCACTGGCGACTAGCGTTTTGTCCGATATCTAAAGAAAACCATGACACAACTTTTGTTTTTAAATCTTTATATTAGGAAATCAATCAGATATGGTACTGTAGCTAGTATACAACTCACCTTTCCGTTCCCAGTAAAATAATGTCTGAATATTACAAGATAATCGAAAAAAATTGAACGTATTTCGACATTTCGATACTGCGTTCTCGGCGTGCCATATTGTTTCGGTGGCTTTTTCCAAAACTGGGATCGTAGACGCACTTCAACACCATGTGCTTTTCATTTGCCATGCAAATGGCGGCAGGTACCAACCAGTTGAAGGAATTACATGAGTTTTTATGCGCAGGGGAATGAAGATTCTGCCAAAAGGTTAATCCAAACTTTGAATCCTTCATCAGTTGTTGAATAAAATCCACAAATATGCAAGGACCCATGTTTGTCTCAAAATGAAAACCACGGACTTAAAAGTATAACATTTTATGCTTCGCTTCATTTAAAATGACTATGGAGACAACCATCACCTACAGAACAGACACATATCACCTGAGAACAACGGTAGCTTTATAACTATGTATTACTCGTGTTGTTTCTAATTGTTTTCGCTCTTTGATTGTGACTTTTCTTGCATGCAAAGTAACATATAAAATCATGTTCTTGTGTGAGTTATATATAAAAAAAGTTGGCGACCAAAATTTACGATCTGGCGGCCAAAATTTTTCCGTTATTCGCCAGCTGGCTCCCAAACGAAAAAGTTAATTTTGAGCCCTGCCAAAGGAATGCACCCTTAGTTTCTACTTTTTCTTTGAAACATCAGAAAAACAAGACAATGTCACCATTATGTCGGCAACCTGCAGACATTGCTCACTAATGGTTGATAGTGTACAATAACTCAGCCATTCAGACTGCAGCATTTGTATTTTAGTATACATGAACTAATGGAGTTCTACTAATGAAACAAGTTCTATTGTTCAGCCTATATCTTTTGTTAATTAAAATTAAATGAACTATGATTCAACCCTTCAACTTATGAAATAAACCACTACTAGTTTATTAAGTGTAACACATGGTATTTTTTCTAACAGGTTGGTGAGAAGCTGGGACGATATGAAGTTGAGAAGAAAAAAGCTGTTGAATTGGAGGATTATGATCTAGCTATGGAGAAAAAAGTGAGTGAAACAGTGTTTATTTCTCTTTATCTTATCACAGGCTACGATAAGAAATACAAGTAGGTATAGTCTGCATATGCGCCTAGTGCCTCATCAGGCCAGCTCTTATCTCTGATTTCTGTAGCACGAAGTGACTAGAAGTATTTCTAATTCCTACTGGATGAGATCTGTGCTAGTCCATCACAGGGTTACCCCCAGCATTAAATT